AAATTTCCTCGCAAATTTATGCCTGTAGTCTGTGAGTTGGGCTTTTATCTTCTGTAACCGAACAGTGACTAAACAGATTAGTTTGTTAATCGAAATAGCAAGTACAAATGTATAATATTTTCAAGGAAAATTATTTTTACGAAGTCTAGAATTAATTCAATTAAATACGTTAATTAATCAATAGGGACAAAAATAATAATATGTTTATATATATATATATATATATATATATATATATGTGTGTGTGTGTGTGTGTGTGTGTGTGTGTGTGTTATAATAACAATAATAATAATAATGGACTCTCCCGTTGGTTTCGACGTATGAGGATCTGACAGCTTAATTGATTCAGTTATGTATAAACATAAAAGGTCTTAATATGCCTTAAAATAATTGTCGGACTTTGCCCGTTTTATATATATATATATATATATATATATATATATATATATATATATATATATATATAATAGACTCTCCCGTATGTTTCGACGTATGAGGATCTGACAGCTTAATTGATTCAGTTATGAAATTTTGTGCGATAATCTTAAGTGGCACTTAGGACCCGCTAGTGATTTACAAAGGAGGCCCCATTTGAAGCAAGAGTGCTGATCGTGGGATGAGATCACTGTTAGATTGGCTGACCTTTAAAATCTGCTCTCGCTTCTTGAAGATTGAAAACTGCTGAGTCCACTAAAAGACGTTGATCTCCATTCTACCTGCCCCAAGGCTAAGGGCTCAAGGGTGTTATGTGGTATATTGACAACTGATAAGTTGCTTTCATCTTGTCTTTGTATGTTAACCATGGGCGTCCTACATTCCTGTAGCCCTGATCTGGCTGTACATTAGGATCTTGGGTATCAGACATTCTCAAGACATGACCAATCCACCGTAACGGAGACTGTATGATAAAAGTCTCGATTCTTCCAATATTACACCTGTTAAACAGGTCTACGTGAGATGCCCTATCTTGAAGGTTAACTCCACAGATTGCACGCAGACAGATTTATGGAAAACATCCAGCAGGCGTACATGGTACCTGTATGGAGTACAAAAGGATGGCAAGTACAACAGCTCTGTAAACCCGAATTTTTTGTATCCAGTCGAATAACCCTCTCATTCTACAAGCGATGTCGAAGTTTGACGAAAGCACTGGTAGCCTTAGCAATCCGATGCATGATTTCATCATCTAAAGTTAAAGGTATATATATATATATATATATATATATATATATATATATATATATATATATATATCGGGTTTCGATTATACCTCTGAGTTTTCAGCGCCCAGTTGAAAGGAAGGCGAATTTTTACGTACCTATTTATTCGAATAAACACGACAATGACCGATAGGGCTTAGTTAATGTAAGAGTTTTGCAATATTAGCAATAGTAGTCATCGTATACAAATTCGCGCTTTTTCCGAAGAGTGCTCGACCAGAATTAAATTTTTCCGGGGACGTATATATATATATATATATATATATATATATATATATATATATATATATGCGAAAAATATATAGAAAATAGGAAAGAACTCGTTAGGTAAATAATCCAAAGTTTTTTAGTATTTTTGTTATTGTTTTTAAAAAATAGTGCTCGATACAATGTTAGCCACTTACGACAGTTTTTATATACACGAAACCCTTTCAGAATAAAATAAAAAAATAAAATAAAAAATAAATAAAGCTCCATAGACATTTAACCAGACTAGACGATGTCATCTTCCGCTTTAAATTTAGACATCCCAACCTTACCCTGACTTGACATCTGTGAATGTAACTGAGATAATGATACAAATTATTAACACCTTACGCCCCTTTTCTTTAAACAATTGGTCTAGCCGTTACCATAGAAATTTTGATTTCAATAATGAACATGCTTATAAAACGCGTAAATTTCAGAAATAAGTTACTCTAAAAAAATTTCGCTTGAAGATGGAACAGAGCTTAGTAGTTTAATTCAATTTAATTCAAATAATTATACTGAAGTTTTCGACTCTTGTTTTGAAACATGAGAACTCTTATGTAGCGTGTTGGAATCATATTTTTAAATAAATAAAATTATATATATATATATATATATATATATATATATATATATATATATATATATAAAGATCACATTTCAGACGTACAGTGTCCGACCACTATTAGTTTCATGCTTTTACGCAGATGTCAGGCGTTCGGCAACTGCATTGCGAAAATGGGAACATTTAGTGTTCAGGCAAGACTAAGATGAAAAAAATACATACGGTGCGTGTACACCTTGCTTAAATCAACCAATCTCACCTGGCCTGGAGCGTAGAGAACATCCATCCGACAAAGATCAAACTAAAGCCGTAAACAATCAATTATACCTGATCCAAAAAAAACAACAAAAAAACCAAAAAAAAACCAGAAATATCTTGCCGATGCAGCAAAAAATGTTCACCGTCAGATGAAACAATGCAGTCGCGGTCTAGACGCCTAAAGCATTCAAAAAAATTGCCATTTTATATGATGTTGAACACTTTCCGGCGTACATTTATGGCAGATTCTTTTTAAGAGCTGCTTATTTCTATTAATCTTAGAAAGCTTTGCCATGTGTGTCTTCGTGGGTCCGCCTGTTGAGCAATTACTTGCTTGATAGCATTATTTTATTCAGAAAAAACTACAGATCATAAAAGAGGGACCAGGGTTTTTTTTGATGCTTTGTATTTTCTCGATGAAAAACAATATAACCTATCTTTATATTTATGTATGCATTATGTATTTCGGGAGTTACAAAAAAATCTCTTTGTTTCCCGGAATTTTCCCAGTAATTTCAAAGAAGTGTATTTACGGGAACATAAAACAATTTTATCGATGATACACAGACCTCAGCATGCAAGAAAATGTTATGTGAAAGAAAACAGTAAAATGACTTACTGAAAAACTGATTGGTGAAAGGACAACGGCATATTTTGCTAGAAATTACGGTTTACGATGTTTATAGCAGAAAAAAAAAACAATTGTGCAGCGTGTGGTCTTGTCACCCCTATATAATACAATTTTCTATTTCAACGCTCTTTGGGGTATTATGAAGGAGAGAGTTTCACATGAACGATGTCAGAATACTAATCAGTTCAATGACGCCATACGCAGAGCCTTTGCAGCAAGCTTCAGTTTTTGCAAGCGCAGCTTCGTAAAAATTTAACACAGAACAAGGCGTTGCATCATTTTATGCCACGAAAATGATGGTGTTCATACAAATCTTCTTGATGTGTGACAACGTCAATGAAAGTGGATAAATTGAAACCAGTACATGGGCTTTGTATTACTGTATTACTTGTTCTCTTGTTGTCATTATTTTCCCGGGGGAGGGGGTGATAAGATTTCGTACCAATCTGCAGTTTTGCTTGTTCCTAAAATACTTGCAATAAAATGACCGAACATGTTCTCTAGTGCGCTACAAGATGCAGACAGACAGACAAATTGCAAATTCAAAAAAACTTCAAAGACTTTGCCCGAGAACTTGAATATGTTGAATATGTCGATTTTCTAAGCGAAGCATAGATGTGTCCCAAAGCCGAAAGTATGAGACATCCAGTGAGGTTCGAACTCACTGCTTCGTCGTAATTGTGCTACCGATACAAGCTTGTTAAACATTACATTTCGAGATTCGCAAATGTTTTTCTAAGCACAGTTTAGATATGACTCGGGATCGGAAGTATGAGGCACCCAATGAGGATCGAACTGAATATTCAGTCGTAATTGTTTTACCGATAAAAACTTGTTAACCATTACACCTCGGTGTTCCCAAACGTTTTTATAAACGTGGCATAGATGTGGCACAAGACCGAAAGTATGTAACGGACACGACTGGAATTGAAACTCGGCCATCAGACTTCTTAATCCTAGTCGCTATCCGTCAAATCACCGAACACTAGTAATAATAATAATAATAATAATAATAATAATCAGTAAAACCGACTTCTCCCGGAAGCCGGGATTATAACATCACTCTCGCTAGCTATTCATATTACAATGAACTCGAACATAAATCTTTGCTCTAAACTGTTTACCTTGTGCCGCATAATACTCTTCTCATTAATATTAAATCACGCGGTGGAGTAGTAGTTAAGGAGCAACGCTAGCAACATTTGCAATTCTTCTGTCTGATTCTTACTTTTAACCTTGCTTCACAAAACTCCATATTTATCAAATACGTCAACGTAAAAAAGAAAAGTTTAACTGCTTGACCCGTATAAGACGGCTATTTTGCTGTTGCCCTACAGGATAAATTTCCAAACATTTTTCTTCATTTATGACTTCCAGATTGTATTCTGACAATGCCATTTTAATTCTAACATCTATGTCGAGTTCAACCATGATCCCAGAATATATATTATTGCGCGTCGATTTAATAAGTATATTTGCTACGTTCTATTTAAGTTATATCACAAAATAAGTTGGGTTGTGCAGTTCGAAAATTTCCATCGATATAACGATTTTTTTCCTTCTATCTATTAGCAATGGTTGTTTTGCGTTGATATAATTTTCCGCTTTTTATTTCGTTCTCGCTATTTTTAAATATTTCTTGTGGCTTCAAGAACTCAAAAATATCTGCCGATTTGGTAATTGCTCTCTGAACAATTCTCTGTTTATATCGCATCAGCTTTTTTATATGAAAAAAAAAAGATGTTTCTTTTGTTCCTTCTCCATAACGGTTTATTGCATATCAAGAGAAGTGATGCTATTTACTTAGTTCTATTTAGCACAAGTAAAGAGCCATTCCTGAAGATCAAACTTACCACTCAAATGTTACTTCCCCAGGCGTCCCAAATGTAGTGCCGATTGGTCTTAATCGTTGGCAACACTTTAAAAATATTCCAGGAAAAGAGATCCTATTTAGACTTAGCTTATTTTTTTTTATACATTCGGAAAGAATGCCTTTGGGAAAGGCATGAAGCCATTTTTACCTATGCATTGTTCAGACAAACTACATTCCTTGGATCTACAAGAGATATGATGCAGTATGCCACGTAGATTATCGACAGATCTTCATTCCTTTCATATCCAAGTATGTCTTACCACCACATCAGGTTGAAACACTGTTTCCCGTATAATCACCAAGTTAAGTAACGTCGAGCCGAGTCAGTACCTAGATGGGTGACAGCTTTGGATGCGTGGGTGGTGAATTAGACAATGGCTCGGAATTGTTAATCGAATAACCGAGTTCCAATTCCCGTTAGGTTCGTTATATTCACTTACGCGCAGAAACAATTTAGAAAGGTATAAATCCAGCTCTTCCCCCGGCTATGGGTTAATTATTAAGAATAGTATTACTAAGCCATTATTATCTCCAACACAAAATAAATTCTGGTAACTAATATATATATATATATATATATATATATATATATAGTAATTTCCACGCAGACTGACTTTTCCCCAGAACTAACTCAGTGTCGAACGAAAAGCGAGAAAACATTTACCCGATAATTACAAAGTTAGTCTCTTCAAATCGAACCTCAACCATTATCTTTCCTACATAGCCTCATAATCAGCACTTCTTACCTCTTCCTCTCACGTTCATATAACAACCTCATTCATACCCCCGTGAGGATGCTTCCCTGATCGCTACAATCTTTACCTCTTCAAGTCGAGGGTCAGCCATTATCTTTCCTATATATTCTCATAATCACCACTTCTTACCTCCTCCTCTCGCGTTCATATAACAACCTCATTCATACTCCCATGAGGATGTTTCCCTGGTCGCCACAATCTTAACCTCTTCAAGTCTAGGGTCAACCGTTATCTATCCTACATATCCTCATAATAAGTACATCTTTCCCTCCCCATGTACGCCCTTACAGCGTTCTCAGTTTCTAACGCCCTAACTTGAATAGCTCTCTGTGCTTGCATAGTGACACAGTAGCAATAAGTATTAGAAGCAGTTTGCTTTATTTCCTCTTCGTTATTTTTAATATTTCTTCATTGGGAACGGTTAGTAACGACGTGTTGGTTACAAAACATTGAATTTAAACTCAGTTCTGAAGCATCAACCAAGACCTCTTTTTCAAAAAGCCCAAATTATCTTCGTTGTCTAGGGGGCATCATGACGGTTATCTTTTTATCGCATCACTTTTAGCTGTTCGTTTTATTGCAGCCATTAACAGCGATGTTTTCTTTACTTTTGCTTAGCTGTACATATAAAATGAAGTTTCTGCCTATCCATTTGTCCCCTATAGAATCAGGATCTACTGGATTAATTTCAACCGTACTGGGCATGCCAGTAGGCTACGACAAAGGTATTGCCTAAGGCTATGTAATGTTGACCTAGGTCAACCTTGAAGGTCGTCGAAGGTCAAAATTAATGTCAAACAAGTCATTGTAAATTAAATATCTATTTCAGCATGAAAATAAAACGGCAAGAGTGCAAATCAGTTTTTAGTAGAAAATTAAATGCGGGGTTACGTTCCTTGATCATTTTAAAAACATATACAAATAAAATGAATTGATTAAAATAAAGTGCTTGTATTTAGACAAAATTAGTTCCGGGGCCAAAACATGAATCTCATTTTGAATTTTCTAAAAAATAATAAGAAAATAGATATTAGAGAACAGAATATGCAATTTAAAACGTCTATAAAGTGGCTATGAGAAAAAAAATGTTCCTTTTTTTCTTAGCAACACAAGAAGAGCCCACTTATCATGGGGAAATAATTTAGGACTTGTATTATAAGATTATTTTAGTATTTAAAACTTCACTTGTATTAATTGAGACTTATAATCTTTAATTTAAACTAAGTGAAATTTATTATAGCATGCTTAATATGCACTCAGTAATAAAGAAATTATGTGAGTTATGAAGGAAGGACTTAATTGGCTCTTTGGTTCCCAATAAGACATCATGGATTCCAACTATGTATTTATAGAAACATAATTGCGGTAAGACAACTCGATTACCTCCCCTGTCTTATGATTTGTATAAATAAGTTCTCTTAGCCAAAACGGAAAGACGCTATAGTTATGTTCATTAAAGGTACATTAATCCAAACTAGACTCCAAGTTTTCCTTACAATTTATTGAACGTAATTATGGATAAACACATTAAACCAGAACGTCTCAACTTGGAGACCCATCTTCTACTGACGCTTGGCAATATTGGAACCGATTATTGGAAGGATTCTTGCTTGCACTGGAAAACGTTCCATCCACTCTTATTACGGAATACGGATAGAATTAACCTACTACTGAACCATGTTTCCATATCCGTATGTACCAATATTTCTCACTACAAAACTTACCAGATTGTCATGGATGCTTTAGACGGAAGTTTTATGAAGAGACGAAACATAATTTTTGCCCGACATGTATTAGCAACTATTCGCTAATCCCCTAAGGAGGGGTTAGAACAATATCTTCTACGATTAAAAATCTTAAGTCGAGACTGTGACTTTGAAGCGATGACAGCAGCTCAGGCAAAAGACTTCGAATTCTTCAATGACTCCTTTATAAATGGATTAGAATCGAACTCTATCCGTCAAAGATTGATGGAAAATAAACAAGTAAATTCAGCTACTGCTCGCAAGTAGGCGCTTACCTTAGAAATGGAAGGAAAACAATTATATTCATACCTACAAATCAGTGTTGCAGAGGCTTCACTAAGTACTCACACTATTACTAGTCCACCAGTTCAAACGACCAAACCAGAGAAAAAACGACACTCCTCTACGACAAACTTCTCCATTTCTGTCACCCCCCGCTCCGCCAGTTCAAAATCTCCCCCCGGAAGACACTGTATTCACTCCTAGTCCTGCAGCCAGACGAAATTCTTATTTTTGTGGTTTCAAACTACACTCCTGGTCGTGTTTTCCTAGCAGAGAACTTAAATACCACAAGTGCAGGAAGAAGAGACATTTCTCTAAGGTTTGTCGATCAAGCTTTTTTCTTTCACCTGGTTCAAATGCTCCTATTGCGACTATTATCGTATCAACTGCCAACCCTAAATTTCTTTCAAAGGTTTTATCAACGGTAAAAATAAACGGGGTAGAAATGAATGCTCTAGTCGACACAAGAAGCTCAGAGAGTTTTATTAGCGTTAATAGTGCAAAAAGAAACAAATTTAAAATCGTACTTTGTGATGGTAAGGTGGCTATGGCGAATGCTTCATTATCTTCGCAGGTTAGAGGATATATTTTGGCCGGCCTTGAGTTGAATCAAAATAACTACACTAACATAAAACTTTCCGTGATGCCAAAACTGTGCTGCGGTATTATACTGGGTTACGATTTCTTCAAAAAGCATTCTAGTAATAATTTTCCATTTGGGAGCCCAAAACCTGCGTCGAATATCTGACGATTGGCTACCCACCCCTGCTCCGCCAGTTCAAAATCTCTCTCCGGAAGACACTGCATACATTCCTAGTCCTCCAGCCAGACGAAATTATTTTTGTGGTCTCAAAATAAACCCCTGGTCGTGTTGCCCAACCAGAGAAACTAAATACCACAAGTGCCGGAAGAAGAGACATTTCTCTAAGGTTTGTTGATTAAACTTTTTTCTCACCTGGTTCGAATGCTCCTATTGCGACTAGTATCGTATCGATTGCAAACTCAAAATGTCTTTCAAAGGCTTTATTAACGGTAAAAATAAACGAGGTAGAAATGAATGCACTAGTCGACACAGGCTAACTTGTCTAACTGTCTGCCTTCGGGTGGAGAGGAACCCAGACGAGGCTCCGCCGAAGGGCAGAGAGATATCAAGTGTACATATTTTCGGAAATTTTGACTTTATTTTACTGGATTCTTATTCTAGCAATAAACATAAACTTAATTTACATTACTTAATTACATTCTTTACTGTCATATTGACTGTGAATATAGCAATACATTCTTCTTCTTATTATTATTATTATTATTATTATTGCGATTTCTGGTGTGTACTCAGTTCTTTCCGGATCCCGGCCGGAGACATAAAGTCAGAAATGGCATCATTACATTTTCCACTGAGCAAAAAAAAAAAAAAAAAGCAAACAAACACATTTTACATAGATAAAGCCCTTCGTAAATGTGTTGTACACGTGGGATCTTTTTTAAATTATTTCTTTAAGCCATGGGCTGCCAGGAATCCATTCAATAAGTTTATTGGAATCTTTTAAAACCAATTCAAGGGCTCCAACTACAATAAGAATTGTTGATGTTCTCATGTTCCACATTTTTGAGATTTCGATTTTATGGTTTGCTAACTTCTTGAAGATCTTCAAAGATACTTTGCAGTCTGCAGGGACTGCCATATAAATAAGGAAGCGATTCGTTTGTTTGCGGTCTCTAATAACGATGTCTGGGCGTTATTATTATTATTATTATTATTATTATAGTTTTCGCTTTTCTTCTTTCATTTCATTCCTCTTCCGCTTTATTTTCTTTTTCTCCTTTTTTTCTTTCTTCCTATTCCGCATATTTTTCTTCTTCTTTACCACTTTTGGTTTACATTCCTTTTCTTCCTCTTCATTTTCTTTACTCTTTCTTGCCTTTTTTTTAATTTTTCATTCTTAGTTTTCCTTTCGGCCTTGTCCTTTTTCTTCTTCCAAAAATTATTTCTCCTTGTCTCTTTTATTTTTGCATATTCCTTTTTTTCCTTTTTCTGTTTAATATTTTCTGTTTTCTTTTACAGCTGCTTAACCCCATTCATCCTCCACTTTTTGTTTTATCCTTTTTACACGTTTATCCTTCCATTTTGTCTTTTACTTCCTTGTTCTTCTCTTTCTCTCTCTTCCACGATTTTCTTTCGTTTCATTTTTCTTTCACATCTCCTTTTCCTTCATTTTCTTTTTCTTCATTCTTTCTTTCTTCTCATTTCTTCTTACTTTCCTTCTTTGTTTTTTTTTTTTGTCTTTCTTAGATAATTTCTTTCTTTCATTTGTACTCTTCTTCTTTCTTTTTCTTTGTTCTTCTTTTCATCGAACTTTTACTGTTTTCTTATTTTATTCCTTATTTTCATTTTCTCTCTTACTTTTCCTTTGACTTTTTTCCTTCAGTGGATTCTTCTTCTTTTCACTTTTGAGTATTCCTTGGAAAGATAGTTTTTGCATTCGTTTTTAAATAAAAGTATGTTCTTTAAACAACGAAATCTTTCCTTCTCCGCAGATATTACATTCTTCTTCTTCTTCTTCTTCTTCTTCTTCTTCTTCTTCTTCTTCTTCCATTATTATTATTATTATAATCTTCTTCTTTTTCTTCTCCTCCTAGTCTTCTTCTTAATATTATTATTATTATTATTATTATTATTGATTTCTTCTTTTTCTTATTCTTCTTATTATTATTACGATTATTATTATTCTAGTCTTCCTCTTCTCCTAGTCTTCTTCTCCTACTCCTTCTTCTTTTTCTTCTCTTTCTTCTTCTTCCTATTATTATCATTATTATTATAGTCTTCTACTTCTTCTACAAGTTTTCTTCTTCGTCTCCTTTTCTTTTTCTTCTTTTTTCTTTTTCTTCTTCTTCTCCTCCTCCTCATTCTCTTTCTTCTTTTCTTCTTCTTCAAGTCTTCTTCTTTTATTATTATTATTAATTATTCTAGTGTTCTTATTTTTTTCTTCTTCTCCTAATTCTTCTTTTTCTTTTGTTTATCTTCTTCTTCTTCTTCTTCTTATCATTATTATTATTATTATTATTATTATAGTCTTCTTCCTCTTCTCCTAGTCTTCTTCTTCGACTCCTTCTTCTTTTTCTTCTCCTTCTTCTTCTTCTTCTTCTTATTATTATTATTATTATAGTCTTCTTCTTTTTCTTCTTCTTCTCTACTTATTATTATTATAGTCTTCTACTTCTTCTTCAAGTTTTCTTCTCCTCCTTCTCTTCTTTTTCTTCTTTTTCTTTTTCATGTTCTTCTCCTCCTCCTTCTCTTTCTTCTTTTCTTCTTCTTCAAGTCTTCTTTTATTATTATTATTATTAATTATTCTAGTGTTCTTATTCTATCTCTTCTCCTAGCCTTCTTTTTCTTTTGTTTATATTCTTCGTCTTCTTCTTCTTCTTCTTCTTATTATTATTATTATTATTATTATTATTATAGTCTTCTTCCTCTTCTCCTAGTCTTCTTCTACTCCTCCTTCTTTTTCTTCTCTTTCTTCTTCTTCTTCTTCTTATTATTATTATTATTATAGTCTTCTTCTTTTTCTTCTTCTTCTTCTTCTTCTTCTTCTCTACTTATTATTATTATAGTCTTCTACTTCTTCTTCTTCAAGTTTTCTTCTCCTCCTTCTCTTCTTTTTCTTCTTTTTCTTTTTCATCTTCTTCTCCTCCTCCTCCTTCTCTTTCTTCTTTTCTTCTTCTTCAAGTCTTCTTCTTCCCTTTCTTCTTTTTCTTTTTCTAATTTTCTTCTTTTTCTTCTTCTTTCCTTCTTTTTCTCTGTCTTCTTCGTTTTGTTTAGGCGTGCAATTTTCCTAAGAAAAGATGCTAATATTTAGCTTGTGTCATCAAATCAAGTATCATATGACGTGACAGCAAATACCAGGCAGGTTTCTTTCTTCTGAATGTGTCAATATGTATTGAGTTCTGTGGCCGATAAAACTCGACGTCTTGATTCCAATTTCAAAAGCTTTCCATATAGAGAAACAAACACAATTATTTCAAAACCAGTGTGCATTTAGAGACCAGTTTGCGTAAAACGCCAACAACCATTCCATATTCTACGTGGTGTCTCTCATCACTGTAAGTCTATTTATACCAGGCATCGACAACATTCTTAGTTCTGTATTTCCTCTTCCATTCTTTAGGGTTCAAATTGACACCGGTTTTTATGAGTTTCGTTTGCTGATGAAAATATGCAACGGATGCCGAAACGTTTCAGCGTGAGTCAAGATATCTGATAATCCTTTTTCTAAACCAATAATCAGTAAGAGATTGATTCTGACAAATATACTAACAATGGTGTCTGAACAAATCGAATTTGGAGTGGCATTCTGTTTACTATTTTTCTATGTGCCATGACCCGTTAGGACATGGATGATCATGGCTCTCCACAACTTCGCAGCTATTAGTAATTACTGATTTTTACTATTACTCCAACTTCCTGTTTTGCAATCTATTTGCAGAAGTTCGTTAGGTAGGTTATTTGATGCTTTCACCTGTGCATCTTGCCGTCAGTATGTGAGTGTCAAATTTTCTAGGCCTTCTTTCCTCATTATATGATTTAGAAGTTTTATTTGTGTCTTGATTTTAAGTCAATTTTTCCTCTTTGCTTTCATTTTCCTTAAATCTATATTCCGTCATTGGTATTCTAAGCATTCTTCTGAAGAACCACATTTGCCTCCAGCCTCTTCATCTGCGAGGAAGTTGTCCAGCATTCACTGACATATAAGATGACTGATATCACATGATATTCAGTTATCGCTTACATTGAAACCTGTGTAAACCGTGCACAGAAAACTTTGATGATATTTAATAGCAAACATTAATGTTACTTAATGCATAGGCTAGACAGGCTAAAGTAATAGAATGGAAACCCAAAGATCCATGTGTCTTTTTTACCAACTCTCACCCACAAAAAGAATACAGTTTAATGGTTAAGAGGAATTTATAACCCGTATCGGCAATGCCATTTGAGTAGTGGTTTGAAAGCCGTGATGCAGTGGCGCTTGCTTATATTTTGATATAAACGTGAAAGATACGCGCGAAAATGTACGGTACGGTTGCGGCGGCAGAGAAGACCTGCGCACTTATAGACGTCAGAGTTTTGTTCTCATATACAGTTTGTCCATAAAGTTCGTGTGCACTTTAAAAAATTTATAACTCTATTTGTATTTGCGATAGAAATAATTTGTAAAAAGGATTAGAAAGAAGTAAATGTATATTTTTTAAGGTTTTATTGAAATTTTATTTAAGTTTCCACATGTCCTCCATCATTAGCAATACAAAGGGTAATACGATTTTGCAGTTCACGGAAAACATTTGCCAACTGATTTACAGTAATGCCTGAAATCACATTAGTTATTTTAGCTATACATAAAACTAGGTACATTAAACTTTATAACATTTTTTACAGATTATTTCTATCGCAAATACAAATAAAGCTATGCATTTTTTAAAGTGCACACGAAATTTATGGACACCCTTTATTTGTTTATTCATAGTTTTAACAAAGGGGACTTGAATGACAGTTAGAATCTGATGAAGATAAAGATTGTTGTTGTTGTTTAACCCAGTTGAATGTTGTCTAGCTCAATTAAATGCCGTTTAAATCAGTTAAATGGTGTTTAACCCAATTTTAAATTATTGCAACTAACCATATTAAATATTCTCTCATAGTTTTAATACTTAACCCCCACTTATGCCATTGATCACCATTGATTCGAAACGATGATGATGTCACTTAGAGAAAATAACAGTTTGCCAGTCTTCTGCTATTCTCACTTATCTATCTATCTATCTATTTCAGTCTGTTCATATCTATCTATCTATCTATCTATCTATCTATCTATCTATCTCCTCTACTCTCACTTCCTTCAAGAAACTGACTACTACTACTTCTGTTACATATCCCATCAAATAAAGTGAGATAAAAAAAAATAATGAAAAAATTCATACCGAGGGACACAATGGAAAATGGAAATGCCAATCACTAAGAGGTGCATTAGTGACATCAGCAAACGAGGTCATTCCAAAGGATTACAGACAAAAAAGGAAAAAAAAAAAACGAATGGATGACAGAAGAGATTCTTGTCATGATGCAAAGGAGACAGAAAACTCTGCCAAGATACGGAACAGAATACAGAAAGTTTCAGAAATATATAAGGAACAAATGCAGACAGGCTAAAGAAGAGTGTCTAAACAAAACAAGTACACAGATTGAGTACCACCAACAAAGGAGACATCCACAAACAAATAAGGCAACTAACAGGACAGAAGACATACTCGGTAAGAGGCTGCTTAAAATCAAAAGACAGAACAGTCATATTAGAGAAGGAAAAATTCTTCAAAGCTGGGACGAGTATATTGGAGAACTCTTCCACAACAAAAGAGAACAAACAGTAATACACAGAACTACGGACGGACCTGGAATTCTAAAAACCGAAGTAGAAGTTGCACTGGCCAAATTGAACAGAAACAAGGCGACAGGGCCAGACGGAATCGTAGCGAAATGACAGCCTTAGATGAATTTGGCATAGACAAGATCACATAAATAATAAATGAAATCTACAACAGTGGGGATATACCGAAATATCTCAGCAGATCTTTTTTTCATAGCACTATCTATGAAACCAGACGCAAACGAATGTGACCTCAACTGAACAATCAGCCTAATGAGCCACGTGACAAACTCACCACTTACATTCTGATGAATAGAAATCAAGGACAAAAATTCATATACATATATGTCCGAAAATCCTTCATATTTGAATTATTATATTCAAATAAAGTATACGGTAGATGGCGCTGTGTTGCCATGTACACGAGATTACATTTCTCATTCGTGTACATTTGTAGCCTGCCTTTCTTTAAAATTTAACGTGTATAGTAGTGCTTAACTGAGAAGTGTTCCCTTTAACAATTGCAGGATATTCATATTGTCTGTAGGCAAATATTAATTTTTAGATAAACCCGCGAGAATGGTAATAGACGAGAGGCTGCACGGCTGTATCAGTTTGCGTTTCGGAGTCTAAAGGCAGCCGAGTCATCCAAACGTTGCTATTGTTTATAGCCGTGTTGCTTAGAATGGATCTGTGGTACCACAATGACCGAGGTCTTCTCGTAACACACTCTACAGGCTGTCCGATTTGGTCCAGGTATAAGTACATGTTAAGTGACCCTAGCAAGTCTTACATCTCATAATAGCTAATGGAGGCTACTTCAAGAGCATCTCTTGTATCCCTATCATTGCAATATGTGCAGGGCCTTTCCCGCTCTGATCATTCATCGCGAGAGAACTTTTGCCAATTGTTTATTACACAACTTGCCGAACCGTTGTTTGTCCCTTCTTTCTGGTTTCTGGATAAGACATTTGAAAGAGATGGAATAACACATTTACATAACCAACCTTTGAGGACGGATCGGAGTCCCCATTACAGTTTAGGCACCAGCATCAGTTTACGATTAAGGTATGGCCTGAAATTTTAGGTGACTCTCGGGTAAGTTTGTATGTTCTCCCTGTACGTCTTACAGGAGCTGTACACAGAGAGTTTATTACGAATCATCTTCCAGACCTGCTAGATGATGTACCTCTGCTAATAAGAAGATGCATGTGGTTCACGCATGATGGGGGTCCAGTATATTTTAGTCAAATTGTTCGAGATACAATAGCTAACATCTACCATGAAAGATAAATAGATAGGAGAGGACCGGTTACATAGCCTGCACGTTCCCACGATCTCAATCACTCGGATTTTTATCTGTGGGGCCATTTAAACAATTGGTTTACGCAGCAGACATTAATAATACAGAGACGCTTTATCAACGTTTCTTTTGAAACCGTGAATGAAAAAGTAGAAAACGTTTTCTTCCTTTAGTATTTCATCGGAGTAAATTGATTTACGTTGATGCCACTGCACATGCGCACGAACGTCACCTACTGGGAATTTTAAATTTAAAACCATTTTTTTTATATGTGTTTTGGTTATATAATTTAGCCGATTTCATTTAGATAACAGAAAGAACATAAACTAGATTATATAACCAAAAACATAAAAGAAAGAAAAAGACATTTTTAAATTTAAAATTCCCAGCGTCTCTTGTTCGTGCGCATGCGTAGTCGCATCAAAGTAAACAAACTTATTCCGATAATGTCCTAAAGGACCAAACAACAAACAAGTCACACAATTTTTCTATTCCTTTATATATATATATATATATATATATATATATATATATATATATATATATATATATATATATATATATATATATATATATATATATATATATATATATATATATATATATATATATATATTATATGTTTGTGTGCAAAGTGTGTGTGTGCATACAAGAGTGTGTGTTTGTGTCTGTGTGTTTTGTGTGTGCCTTAGAAAATTCAAAACTTGAAATGTAAAGAAGCCAGGACGATTCTAATGACGAGTGCTAACAAGTCCGCCGTAGAGGCAGACGGGGGTGGTAAGATCCTTGGGAACAAAGAAAATCATTTGAAGTTCTTTAAAGCCCAAATACGGAAATATATATTGAGTTAAACTCTTCGAATAATCGTCAAACGTAAGTTGTTAGCGAAGTAAATAATTTTTCAAATTCCATTGGCTTCTGCGACGTCATCTCTGAAAGGAACAATCAATCAACATTGAAAGCGATATTCTACTCAAAGAATTGGCTTTTTTCCTGCCGAAGAATAAGCTTTTTCCGATTTTCTTCTTTTTTTTTTTTAAA